CCTCAGACTCGCGGCGCCCCTCCTCGCTCGCCCCTCCTCGCTCGCCCCCAGCCCGCCCGCGGGAGGGAGGAAAACACTGGCCACGTGACTCGGAAGCGTGACTTTGTTGATCTCCACGTATTTGGCGCCGGTCGGCGGGGTCGGGGCCCGGGAGAGGGAGGGGACCGCTGGCGGCCGCCGGGTTCTGCGTAGGCGGACCACTGGGAGGCGTGGGGGCGGGGAGTGCTGGGAGGATGACGGGGACCTCCTGGGAATGCCGTCCCAAGTTTGTTTCCTAACCTTCCCCATTTTGTAAACAAGTTGGCGGACGCCCCTGAGTCTAAGGAGCGCTGATAACGCGCTGGAGGAAAAGGGGGCATTCTCTCTGACATCCCCTGCTTTTCAGACTTTCTCAGCTCGAGCCTTTTGTCTCGTCTCCCCATCCTCCTTATTCTACTATTGGCTTCCCTATAACTGTAAGAGTCTCCCTAGCTACTGCTGGTATCTCCTTCTAGAAAATATGGGGCTGGGAGAGGCCATGGAGCGGAGGTTAATGCTCCCAGGGGCTGGCAGGTGGTTGTTGGGCATTGTGGGCCTGGGCATCCCCTCCAGCCTCCTCCTCTGACCATGCCCCTACCCTGACCATACCCCTACCCTGACCAGCCTTAATTTCCATGGGAAGTGGAAGTCATCTCTTCTCACTGCTCTTACCTCTGGCAGAACAAGGAAAGGCTTGGAACCTGGATCCACCCATCTGCCTCTTCCCAATCCTCATCATCACAGTCTGATTAGTCCTTAAGTACCTGGTGGTCTGGGAGTCTGAGTGTTTCCCAAGTCCTGTGTTGGACAGCTCACTTAGCCAGAGACACAATCACTTTGGGCAGAGTGTGGGTGTACAGGGAACCCCAGCTGCTCCATATCACCCTCAAGGAATCTGTTAGCAGCCCAAGGGAGTTTCAAGGATCACAGATTCAGAATATCGCTGCAGCCCCCTCCCCCAGCTTGGACTCTGCCTGCAGTGGCCTTGGGGACAACCTTTCTTTAGCTGCCCTCTGCTAATCCGGCTGAGACCAAGTCAGCTGCTCTAACTTCCCCCTCTCAGTTCCCCATCTCCCAGCCTGTCTGCTGGCTCCAGATCAGAAGCTGGGAAGAGAACCCCTCCCCCCCTTCCTGCCTCTTTCTGGTGTGGCTTGAGTTGTTCTTGTTCTCTGGGAAATGAGACTGACTGACACACACCCTCCCTTCCCTCAATCCTTGAAATATTTGGTGTTTGAGGGACAATTTTCTTGCTCCCAACTCATGGGTCCATTTGTCTAGCCAGCATCCCTAGCATAGCTCTCCTTGCCCTTGATGCCACCTTCAGGCTGGGGCAGGTGGAGTGGAGGCTGAGGAACAGATTGATTGAGGAGAGAGAGGCTGTGGTGGCTGAGGTGGTTGGCATTGCCTGCCTTCCCACATTCCTGGCACACACCTGGTGTTGCCAGGGCCCTAAGGCTGCACCCTGGCCCCATGCTGAGGATCACGAGTTGGCCAGTCAGGGCGTCTCTGTGGTTTCCTACTGACTTCACTCCATTCCAGACAGCTGGGGGCTGTTGCTGGCAGAGAGGGGGGCCAAAGGGGCCCTGAGGAGGGAGAAGGAGGGGGCAGGAAGGGAGAAGCACACTAGGCTGCCGAAGGGGACATTATTCCAAAGTTTGTTTGCTGCCCAGTGAGTGACTATTCTGGCCCAGCCCCAGGGCCAAGAGTGGAGGCAGACAGCAAGGACAGTGGAGCCCTTCCCCCTCCTAGTATACTGAGCCTCAGGGCAGTGATGGGTTTGGCCACAACCTGCTGGTTGGTAGAGGCAGGTCAGGCGGGGTTTCTCTGTGTCAGTCTTCTCAGGTTGGGGGTGGAAGTGAGGTGGGGGTATGGGTGGGAGTGTCTCTGGGTGGATGCCTAGGCTGAGGATGCTGGCTTTAAGCCCCCAGGTTCTGAGTGCTGCCCTTGTCCTGTGTCCTCCAGGTGAAGAGTGAAGGACCCAAACTGGTGCCGTTCTTCAAGGCCACCTGCGTGTATTTCGTGCTCTGGCTGCCCTCATCTAGCCCGTCGTGGGTCAGCACCCTCATCAAATGCCTGCCCATCTTCTGCCTCTGGCTCTTCCTTCTGGCCCATGGCCTGGGATTCCTGCTGGCCCACCCTAGTGCCACCCGCATCTTTGTGGGGCTTGTCTTCTCTGCTGTAGGTGACGCCTTCCTCATCTGGCAGGACCAAGGATACTTCGTGCATGGTCAGTGGCCATAGTAGTTGCCTGGGAGGAGTCCTGAGGCTTGGGGATAGAGGGGTCCTGGGGCTGTGGGCAAAGATTTGGAAGAGGGAGTTCTTGAACCAGAGTATGGGGAGCCTGAGGGTTTCTGAGACCAGGGACTGTGAGGGTCCCTGTTAGGGGATGACCTCGCAGGGGAACTAGTGATCAGTTCCAGAGTCCTTCAGGGGACTGGGGTGGGGGTCTTTAACTTTAGATTTTCCTACCCCTGTTATCCCAAAGCAAAGCTGCTGGGTTATCCCAAACACTCCACTCCATCCCTACCCCCACCCTGTTACTCATTCTTCATCAAGCTTGCCCTCAGCTGCCTTCGCCCCTCTTACCCCCAGGTCTGCTGATGTTTGCTGTGACCCACATGTTCTACGCCTCAGCCTTTGGCATGCGGCCACTGGCTCTTCGGACAGGTCTGGTGATGGCAGTGCTGTCTGGTCTGTGTTATGCCCTCCTCTACCCGTGCCTCTCAGGTGCCTTCACCTACCTGGTGGGGGTCTATGTGGCCCTTATCGGCTTCATGGGCTGGCGAGCTATGGCAGGGCTGCGGCTGGCCGGGGCAGACTGGCGCTGGACAGAGTTGGCAGCTGGCAGTGGTGCACTCTTCTTTATGATCTCAGACCTGACCATCGCCCTCAACAAATTCTGTTTTCCTGTGCCCTACTCTCGGGCGCTCATCATGTCCACCTACTATGCGGCTCAAATGCTCGTCGCCCTGTCAGCTGTCGAAAGCCGGGAGCCTGTGGAACACTACAGACTGAGCAAGGCCAACTGAGGTGCCAGGGTCCGGTCACCCCTCTCTCCTCCTGGGGCTGGGGCCCAGATCCTGGGAAGCTGCAGGAGCTGGATCAGAATGGCTGCAGTGCCATCCTGGGGCAGCAGGTTCTGCCTGAGGAATTTGCAAGTTTGAGTGGGGAGGCTGGAAAAGGATCTCCCTAGTGGAACTCGTGGTCCAGGACAATGCTGAGAGCTAAAAGAGCCAGCCTAATCCCTGACTGGAGCCAGAAGTAGACATCTCCCCACCTCTACCCCATCAGGACTTTCAAAAGCCCTCCTGGAAGGTGATGGTGCTCAGCTTCTTGACACACCCCCTTCCCCTACCAGGTGGAAGAGTCTGACTCCATGTGTTATGCCTAGGACCAATGGCAGTGGTTCGTCCACTCCTCCCCTTTTTCATCTGCACAGAGTTGAGGGAAATGGGAGAATCTGTGCTGAGAAGACTTAGACCCAGGAGCCCCTTTCACAGGCCCCTAGTTGGGAAGACTGGATGAGAGTGGAGCCTCCCTTTTCCCTCTTCTATCCTTGTTACTTGAACAATCTCAATTTCTAAGTGGTGGGTGGGGATATGAAGAGGTGTGGATCCAGGCTAGGCAGGAGAGAGAACTTTTTTGGTCTCGGAGCTTGGGGTCTCAAGAATTCAAGTGGCCCCATCTCTCTCTCAGGCAAGCCCAAAGCTCAGGTCCCATATACCACCCTTAGATCCTGTCCCCAGGGCTAGGGTGAACCATGCCAAAGGAGGGGGCCAACTTCTCTGTGTGTGTGTGTGTGTGTGTGTGTAGCCTGTCTCCTAGTCTGCCTATGTCTTTCTCTGCTATATGTTTCTGTCCTGCTGTCTGTCTGTCAAAAGTCTCACAGAGAGAGGGCCTCAGGGAGCTGCTGAGGGGTGCTGAGCCTGGCTCAGGGAGCTGGGACCTCTCCCCTCCAACACACATACTCACAGGGCTTTCCTCCTTGCCCCTCCTACACTAGGAGCAAGAGGAGGGGGCTGCAATGACACTCTGGGGTTTTAAGACCCAAGGCACATTCAATGCAAGGGGAGCAAGGATGGGACAACTCCATCTTCTGCTGCCCGTGTGAAAAAAAATAAAAATCAAGAGCCATTGGCTGCTCTGCTTGTGGGCCTGTGTGGCACATGCCTATCTTGGAGAGGGCATGGGGGCATGGTGCCAGGGGCTCTGGCTGTCCTCACAGCCTAGTCACAGTCCTGGGCAGTGCATCTTGGTGCCAGGCTGGCTCCCTGGCTCTGGTGACACTGTGCTGGTTGGAGTGTGTCTCACTTCCCTGGTGTAGGTGAGGATGTGGTTTAGGAGGATGGGGGATGGGTGGTATTTGTCACTGTCCAAATTTGTCCTTGTTGTACTCCCCTGTGCACAGGTGCCCAGCACCCTTGGTGACCTTTAGTTATCCAGTGTCACCTATTGCTGCCCACCTCCTCCCCTCCCGACTCGAGACCTGCTGCTTCCTTCAAAATGATCCAGATTCCCTTCAAGCATCTCCCTCATCTTGGACTCTGGGCTTAGTTGAACAGCTGGGAGCAATGGGATTAGATTGACTGATTCATTCATTAGATGTAAAGCCCTGGCAGAATAATGTGTCACTCTGCTCCAGGAGCATTTGCAACTTAACAGGCAATGCCCTAACCCAGAAGTGGAAAGGGAAGCCTTCGGTGGTGGTGGATATGCCATCAGTAGAGGTGTTGCACATTTGTGGGAATGTGATTTAGGAGACTCAAGTGTCATGGGTGGTTGGATGAATCAGTGATTTCCAAATTAGTTTTTGCAGAGATTCCTGGTAAGGGGTTAGCGAAGGAATAATGAGAGAAGGCAGGCTCAAAGACCCCCTATCCTTATTTCAAGTCCAGTAGCTTCTTAGGTTGCGTTTTTTTGTTTTGTTTTGTTGTGGAAGGAGTCCACTGAAAAACGTAAGTTTGAAACTTAGTGAGCTGGATGATCGATCCTTTCTAGCTCTGAACCCTGGATACTAAAGAGGGAAGATCTTGATCCTTTCAAACTTCAGAACTCTGAACACAGACCTACCTAGTGTGAAGAAATGGGAGAGAGCAGGATGGGGAGAAGGATGAAGTCAGCAGGACTTGCCTCCAAGCTCTGAGGGGAGGGATAAGGTGCCATGTGGATGTGGAGGAGGGGAAGGGAAGTCTAGGCCCAGTCACAGGAAGGCTGGTCACTGCCTTGTGGGTGGGTTTGGACTAGGCTTTCAGGGGTCCAGGTCTGGGATTCCCCATCATGCAATCACATCCATCCCCTTGGTCCCTGCTGTATACCACCCTCAGGAATAGGAAAGGATGAATTTAGTTTATTGCCCCATCCCTTCACTGAATGTTTACATTGACATTGACAAACACCAGAGAGCAAACTGGGCTTCCTACACCAGGCCATGCAGAGGACCGGCCAAGAAGCTCCACATCGTAACAGCCTCCTGATGCCTGGACTGGGCTGGAGCTCACATAAGGTGCTTTGATTTCTTCTGCAGACTCTCGGTGATGGATGCTACAATTGACTTATCATCTTTGTCTGAAAGAGCAAAGCAAGTATTCATTATATTAATGATGCTGGGGACCAGGGAAATTCCAAACTGCTGGACTTCCTATGCAGGAAACCAGGAGCTGGACCCTGGGACCCTTAATCTTGGGTTGGCAGAGCGGAAGGGGCGAGAGCTGCCATTTATCTAGCAGTTAATATTTGCCAGACATTGTGCCAGGCAATTCTGTACTATCTCATTTAAACCTCACAGTCCTATAAAGAAGATGAGAAAACAGGCTCAATGAGGTAGCTTGCTAAGGTCACATGGCTGGTCAGTGGCAGAGCCAGGGCCCTGGGCCCACATGCTGTGCTTACAACCAGAGTTGAGTTATCAGGGATCTCTTTAGCTGTGGAATGAAAGCTGGATAGCGCCCACAGTGCCTTCCCTGGCCTAGTTCTTTTACACAGCTCAGCAGCCTCTCTGGAGATATTGTCTCAGTGCCAGACACTTAGCTAAGCACTCAAGAGACAGAGCAACATGACAAGGTCCTTTCCCCAAAGAAAGGTATCTATAACTGGACAAAAAAAGGTTTGTAACCCTGGAGACCACAGCAATGGAGTGTCATGGAAGGTTCAGGAGTAGCAGAAGATGAGATGAGAGGTCGGGGAGGGGGAAACCGTGTTGGTTGGGGATTTTACCATGAAAGGAAAGCCGGGGGAAATTTAAGCAACAGCAAGGCAGGCCAGCTTTGCATTTAGAGTTCATGCTGCTAGCTGTGTGGCTATGAAGACAGTAGACTGGGAAGGAATAAAATGCTTCCCCCATGTGTGCACACATGAGTAGAAACATGGCATGCATGTACAAAAGGGAGGGTTCCCTTCGCTCCTCCCCTTGTTTGTGCCCCCCACCTGCTCTTATCCTAGACCAGTTTTAATTTTGATTGCACATCAGAATCACCCGCAAAATTTTGTAAACATAAAGGTTATTTCCAGAACCCTGCCAGAGAGATCGTGATTGGTGAGTCTGGTTAAATCCTGATCACGAGTATCTTTTTTTTGAAGGCAGGTCTAGGCTCACCAAGAGTTGCAAACCACATCTTATCTAGGGATTGAGAACTCTCATGTCTGCAGGGACCAGGCATATAACAAATGACATCGAAAGGATGGGAGAGTGGTAAGAACTGTGGCCAACTAAGAATGTTTGCACCACCTGTTGGTAGTCAGGTCAAAAAACGGTGCCAGCCAAAAAAAGAGCTGACCAATGGCCCACAAGACCAGCCTTTTGCGCCTCTCCCCTTCCCCGAGGCCGGACCCCGCGGCGCCCTCACCATAGACGGTGAGCATGCAACTGCTGCAGTCCTTGCCCAGCTCGTTCTCCACCAGCACGCTGTAATCGCCGCTGTCCTTGAGCGTGCAGGTGGGGATGACGAGGGTGCACACGCCGCTGGTGGAGTTGTACCAGAACTTCGAGTTGGCTGTTATGTTGACGTCGCCCTTGTAGAGGGTCACTGTGGGTCGCGGGTTCCCAAGGAAGGCGCAGGTCATGGTGCAGTCCTGGCCGCGGAGCACCGTGTGTGGCTTGAGGGGCGTCAGGAAGCGCGGTGCCTGGCGCCAGTCCTTCTTCTCGTAGGGCTTGAGCTTGGCGCTTAGGTCTTCGACTGCGCGGGCGGGGCGGGGCGGGGCGGGGCCGGCCGTGAGCGCGCCCCAAGGCCCCCACCCACCACCCACATCTTAGAGCTCAGCTTACACGAAACCCCGAGGACCTAGGCCAGATTCCCAGCGCCACTAACTCTGGGGGCCCAATGTTACACTGGTTCCTAAGGGCTCCCCACCAGCCCCCAGACCTCCCCCGGACCCCCCAGCCCCATCCCCAGCCACTCCAGGGTTCTGCCACCCAAGCCATGCTTTCCCATACACCCGGGGCCAAGATGTCATTCCAGCGCCAGCTTCCTGGACCCTGTTATTCCCAGCCTTTAACTCCGCCTCCAAGCTTCCCCTACGTCATATCAGCGTCCACAGTCTCCCGTCTTATCCCTTTAGCTCCTCAGTTGGAGTTTCCCGATGCGGCCCCCACCCTTAACCCCTAGTCTCCAGGGATCCCAGCCATCCTCCTGGCTCCCTAGAGCCCTCCCCTGTTCTCTGCCCGGTCAGACCCTCCCCTCAGCAGAACGCAGTCTAAGTCTGCGCTCTAAGTCCCTCCGCAGCCCCTCCACCGTCGTCTCCGCCCCCAAAGGTACCTCCCCACCTCCGCTTTAGTCTCACCCCTAAGTATCCCGAAGAAAGCCAACATTTCCTTCTCTCCGCAGCGTCCCAGATAGTAACCGTTCTATCTCAATGGTTTTCGGATTTTATCCTGCCTCTTGGGTACCCTTTGCGATCCTTATGTCATCCCCACCATCAGGGCACCCAGACTTACTCTGGTCTTTATTGATGAGCCAGGTGTCCTTGGAGTCAAGTGGCTCACTGTCACCGATTTCATTCCGAGCCACCACTCTGAAGTAATACTTCCTGCCTGGGAGCAGCCCGGTCACTGTGTACTTGTTGCTGAAGACACGCTCGGCTGCCGTGTACCAGGCGGCGGTGCTTGCATCCCGCTTCATGATGACATAGTGAGCCTCACTGTCCTCCTGCACATCTGGGCTGTGGTTCCAGGTCAGAGTCACTGTGTTGGGGACTTCCTCAAACAACCGTAGGTTTGTGGGGGGCCGAGGGAAATCTGGAAGAGTTGGAAGATCTGTCAGCGACCTTGGGGGACCTGAAGTATTGTGTTCCCAACCCAGCCATCTGCCAAGTCCGATGGTAGATAAGATGGGGCAAGTCTCGGGCAGCTGGTGTCTTGGAGTCGGAAAACTATTTCTGAAGTCTGCTTTGCCATTTACTAGCCTTGTGACCTGGGGTAAGTTACTTATCTGAAACTTCTTTCCTCAGTTGCAAAATAGAGCTAACAATGACTATTTCATAGAAATAGTGGGTAAAGAGCCTGGCATGTAGTTACTGTTCAGTAAAAGTGAATCCATTCCTTCCTTGGGGGTTTAGAGCTTTATTTTAAAGCTCCCAGCTCTCTTTAAGCGGTCACCCCAATTTTTAATGGATTCATCTCCATTTGTCCCTCCTGCTCCTCACTCATTTCTACTCTCTCTGCTGACCATACTCTGTATGATAAAGTTTTGCTCTAGGTTGTCAAAGAAATCTTCATGACCCTAAGGCACAACTTTCCTGTGGTAGGAACTCAAGCGGCACTGGGGAGCCGTACTTTGGAGAGTGTGCAGGGATGGGTCCTGGAGGCCTCTGCCTTCTCTCCATACCTGCTACGCGCACATGGATGTCATAGTGTGCTTCTCCAAACTCATTCTGAAGCAAGATTCGGTACACCCCTGAGTCAGAGCGCTTGGCGCTATTGATGAGGAACTGGGAGTGGTTTTTGCTCTTGGTAATTGTTTCTCGGCCCTTGGTGGGAACACCATCTTTCTGCCAGATCACGTCAGGTGGTGGTGAGCCCTGAATAGTGACAGGAGATGGCACAATTGGTCACGCAGATGATATTTGGGGGCAGGCCTTCCTCCATTGTCGAGGAGTTTCCCACCAGGCTGTCGCACTAGAGGTCTGGTGAGGGGCAGAGTCAGAGTCAGAGACTGTGATGGCTACAATAGCCATTTTGGTTATTGGAGAGTGTATGGAGGTCAGGGTCAGGGACAACTCACGGAGAAGGCTGCATGGATGCAGAGGGCTGTCCCAGCGCGAACCACCATGTGACTCTTCAGCCGGGCACTGAGGTCAAACTTGGGTGCAGCTGAGATGGAGGAGACAGAGGTGGAGGCATGGATCTCTCTTTCAAGAAGACTCTGCTTTAAGCCTCCTCATCAAAGCCTTCCCAACCTCTCCTCTTTTATGCCCCCACTACAGGCCATACAGACATCTAGCTGCCCTGTAACACTGTGAAACATTCATTTGTTTTCTTATCTGTCTCCTTCTACTAGTATGCAAGACCCTGGAAGGCAAGTCCTGTGTCTTGTTTCTATATTCCTAACACCTGCTTTTGAAACTGCCATTGAAAACAATTATAACAGTGAGAAAATTATGACAGTGAAAGAGATCTGATCTAACCAACCCCCATCTTACCTTTAACCTCCAAACTGCCCTTAATAATTCCTGGTTTCAGACCAAGCTAACGTTGGGAGAGACATTTTTTAAGTTTATAGTTTAGATGATAACAGTCCTTCCCCCAAACTAAATCACCTTTGCGAAGCTAATGAAAGGCCACCAGGTTAGGAGGATGTGAGGAGCCTGAATTCTGCTAAGGTGTAGACATAAAAGATTGTCAGCCATTATTCCAGAGATCACAAGATTTGCAACTCCCCAGCTACTCCTGCAAATACATCACTATTGTAGAACCTAAGATTGGTCGTTGAGATGTCTTTTCAGGTTTTTGCATTTCTGACGACTGATAGCTCCACCTGGACGTGCTGAGCCCCCCACCCCACCGGTCCTGTGGTCCCACTCAGAAGCAGGCTCCCTGGCCTCTGAATTTTCGGGGAGTTGATTTGGGTAATAACTCCGTCTCCCATACGGCATGGCTGGCCTTGTGTCCATTAAACTCTTTGTTGCAATGCTGTGGTCTCAGTGAACCGGTTTTGTGTGTGCAATGGGCAAGAAGAACCCATTGGGTGGTTATACTTTGACACACAGTGGATGCTATTTGGCACACAATGATTGCTTTAGTGGGGGTGCCCCTGAAGTTACCCCTAACTTTGTCCAGGCACAATAACTATGGATGACTTTTTCATGATCATAGCATCATCCGATTTTCCTGTGGGATGAGGCCCCAGAGGAGAAGGTTTGGAGGTACCATGTTGGGCATGAATCCCCAGCCCTCTCTGTCTCCTCACCTGGTGGTGGCATGGCACGGACCCCCTTGTCTAGCTCCACAGGCTCCCCAACCCCAGCCTCATTCACAGCCCGGATTCGGAAGAAGTATTTTTGCCTCTCCGTGAGTCCTCCCACTGTGTAGCAGGTGCCTGAGATGGGGATCTTTGTGCACTTGGACCACTCCTTTGTGTCTTCAGTCCTCATCTCAAGGATGTAGCCAGAGGGTGGGTCTCCCTCTGCAGGCTCCCACCAGGCCAGGGAAATGCTGGAGTTGGAGGAATCAGATACATGCAGGTCCTGGACCAGGCCTGGGGGTTCTGGGGTAGAACAGACATGTAGTCAGCGCCCCCCGCCCAAACTCATCTCCACTCAATACTCCTGAACCCCATCTTTCACTACTTCTAGCTCCAGATCCCGCAGTTAACACCCTC